TCCAGTAAATAGTGCAATCTTTCGGTGTTAATTTTTATTTTTAAGCCTCCTTTTATGGGTCCTTGCAAATGAAACAGTTCTCCATCCACATGTGCTGAAGTGGCGGTTAAAGGAAATTACCTTTCCCAAAAATCTCCCCGAAAAATATGATTTTTTTCAGTTATTACTAAGGGATTCTTTGTCCTATTTTGATAATTCGATAGACGCTTTATCAAATAACTATAAGGTTTAGAGAAAATTTGGCAACGATTAGACTTAACACGTCGTCAGTGTAATAATTATTATATGCCCAGGCCTCTACGTTACTGGCTTCTATAAAGTGCTCTTCGCAGTTCGAATACTGCCCAGAATCGATCCATTAAATCAGCTGCAGAAAACGTCAAACTTTCGATGCGTGACATTTGCAAGGGTTCATTATTTTTCCACATTTTCGCAGCTAAGCACGAAGTTAAGCACGCCGTGAACTGTCTTTCTTACTGCTTGCTTCACGTAGATTCCAGGTCTCTAAAAAAACCGACAACTCTCTTACGGATGGAGCGCCTCATTGAAACAAGGAGATTATTTGCTGGTTCAACGTGAAATTTCTGTGACGGCATCACAATTGACAAATTGATCCAACAGGAAATTTTTCCCAGTGTGAAACATACGCTATTGAGCCGCGACCAATCCAGTCATCGCAATACTCGTCGAGTCTATACATACCTGCGAGCTGATTATAGAAATTGATAGACAAAGCGATAGAGACAGACGACAAATGGAAAATGGGGCTCTCTTATCAGTGGCGTGACGTGAATTGCGATAAATCGATTATTATGCCATTGAAACCTACGGAAAAGGATCGATCAACAAGGTGTTCGCAGCGAACACTTTATTAATAGATTCTTTACCATAGGTTTAAATGGCATAAAAATCGATGTATCGCAATTCACGCCACGCCACTGTATCTTATTGGTGGAAACGGGTGGTTGCACCAACGAGAGACCCCACAGTTGGTTTTTGTTTTCGCCCCTTGGTCTAGAGTATAAAACTACCCTTTCCAACCAACAGGATCACTCCATTTTCCATTATCTACCGTTTTTTTTTTTTTTCATCAATTTCGATAATCAGGCTGCTGGAAGCTACTTTGAAACACCGGAATTGAGACACGTGATAGTACAATTTCACTCTCGACAAATAATAGCAGACGTAGATGTTACGCGAGAGCCCCTTCACCATGCTCGAACATGAAAAATAAAGCAGGCGCTTTTTCTCATGCAGAAATGCTAAATGCAAAAACACAAAACCAGAAAAAAAAAATTCCCACAAGTGCGCGAAAGAAGACGGTGAGAAAGGACGGAAAGAGAAACTAGTGGCTGCGAATAGGAAAGAATTCCGCGCGAATAAGCAATGAGGCCAGAGCGGCCGAACCGTCGCAGAGATTCCCTTTCTACATAGGCCAGGGTTGTGCATGCCGCCGACGCTTTGCAGTTCATCTGGCGACCGTGGCGACATCCAACGTCCTTGCGAAGGCCCTTGCTGCCCCCCCCCCCCCCNGGCGCGCCGTCTTGACTCGGACGTCACGCGGCTATGAAAGGAGAATGACATTTCCCTCATTTGCGGGAATCAACTAATTCGACTGATGTTCGTGTCGTGCTGAAGAGGAGAGCAAGACGTGATGAAGTTGCGAGTTGGTGTTAGTAGTATTTCAAGGGGCTGACTGTATGCATGCAGTAAAAATAAAATAAATAATGAATCAATCACTCCCCGGTAAAAATTGGCGATAGGAGCTGCGTTTCAAAATACCATCGGAGTTCTTATAGCCGACTGAAGAAGGCGACAGAAAATCATATAGCTGGCTATAGAAAGTGGAAAAAATCATACGGCCGGGCTACACAAAGCGATAAAAAATTAAACAGCCGGGCTATAGTTCCTGTCGCCGGGCTTTACACTTTATCGCCTGGCTGTTGCTTTTTCGCCATCGGCTATTAAAGGCTATACGAAATTGTGTATTTCGAAATTCGTTTGCTTTGTAAATCCGCAAGTTTGTACGGAATCACCATAATATTTACAAAAGTACATACATTATATTTTCCTTTCCTACATATTTGTTTTCATCAATTAAAATGAGAATAATCCATACAGAGTGTGCAAACATTTCAAAGTCATGAGTTGAACAACGCTGACTCCACGAGATTAAATATTAGAGCCTAACACAAAGTGGAGCGGCGGCGCACTGGCGCCTACAAACCTAACAGGGATACTTCACGCACTGCGCAATGCGTGAAGTATCCCTGTTAGGTTTGTAGGCGCCAATGCGCGTTTCGCGCTGGCTGCCCGCCCGCCGCGCTGCGCCGCAGCATACCACGGCGCTTGAAGCGACTATTTCACACCAGAGGTTTTGCACAGTATCGTATACGAAATTGAAGGCGCTCCGACATGTTAGGAATGGCAGGCATCCTTCAAAAGTCCTTCAAAAGTTTCCTCGCAAAATAAATCAAGATACTACGGCCCAAAAAGAGAGCGGTAGTCCAAAAACTCACTAAATCCTAGCATCCGTAATTAGTAACGGACAGCATACACTGTATCGTCGGGCTGTTGCTTAGTCGCCATCGGCTATAAAAAGCTATAAGAAATGGTGTTGCCGGCTATAGAAGCTATTGGAAATCTTACAGTCGGCTGTAGGTCTATGGTATTTTGGAACACAGATTCTACTGCCAATTTTTACCAGGGCTATCAATTGAAAAGCCCTTTGAGAGCACGAATTGTTTTTTTTCGTAGGTATGGCAGTTGATATTGCATGGGACCTTTTCCAGAACCGAGAAAGACGTGGTAGATTATCGCCAGGGCTGCCTAGAGGGGGAGGAGGGCGACAAACGGAAATTTCGTTAGGTCTCATCGGGATCGAGTTGGCTCTAGAAATTCTGAAGTAGCAGAGCATCAGTCAGGCTGCAGACCCCCTTGGAGTCCGTCACTTTAGTTTGTCCCGAGGCTCATATTGTGTTAGAGCGGGCCTGGTTATCCATACCCACGAAGGACGTTTGGGCAAATACAGTTAAAAGATGAGCTGATCTTTGCTTTTTTAATTTTTAACTAATAAAATGGATGATTATGGCACTTTGAGTACTGCAAACTGGTGTTTCCTAGTAAGTATAGAAAGCTCTATTTGAACACCAAAAAAATTTACGACTCAAGGACCCCATGCAGAGCTTTTACTGTTCTCCATCTTTGTGTCGTTTTGTGCGTATAAACCCCAATCAGGAACCTCATCCAACAAGCATCACAATCTATTAGAAAATGTGTGTTATTTTGCTGAGTTATACCTCCTCTTGAACCACGGGAATGTCTCTGGGTTTTACTCTTGCCTAGAATAGAGTAAAAATAAGTAATGAGAGGAGGTAAATACGTGATTAGTCGAGAGCTGAAAGTTTACTTAGCAAAGCATGATTAAAAACGAGATACCGCTGGGGATTTGAATCTTGGAGATTTTGCGAATGGCCGGGATACAATTAGTTGATAGGATTAATAAAGCGGATTGAATTTACAGCTAGAATTTTTGCATGCGTAAAATTATTCCTTACTTTACAAATTATAATATGAGTTAAAAACCATAAAAACTGCGATTAATGCGTAAAGAATTCAACCCATTTACTTACCGGGTCCCGATTCGTAGAAGGCCTATTGCAAGTCTTTGGTTCCTAAAACCTACAGATCTCATCCAATGATGACTCGCCATTTTTCAGTCGCAGTTCTAAAGATTGGTCACATTCTTGCAGAATGAACGAATCAAAAGAATTTGGATTTTCAAATGCAAATATAAAAGCAAGCATATAACGACAGTGTGAGACAGGGTTTTTCATGTTTTAAACAGACCTCTACTCACGACATTGTCTGACTTATGAACTGTCAAACAAACATTAAAAATTAGACAAGCTATTCTCTCTCCAGTGAAAAAAGACATACACATTTGCGGGCTTCTACTGTTCGATTGGTTCAGTTTGTTTCAAATAAGTCTTTTCGAGCTGAGCTGAATGGAAAAGTATTTCAGTGACCTCGGACTGCTTAATTTCATTGGGGGCGACATTCGCCGTTATATGATGACTGCTGAATCCCGCATCGAGCAATCTACCAAAAAGATTGGTTAAACTGTAGCTTATCCTTCATTATGAGCAGATCTCTCAGGAAGTTGCTCAGCAGTCAGCATTCGCCCCAAAAACTAGCGATCCACTCCAAGAATTAACTTTTACACTCGTAAGAGCAAATGGATTACATTCTGCAATAAGGAACCACTAATTCTGGCTCATTTTTAAAAACGACATATGCCATCGGTTTTCCAATGCAGAAAGGAGTTTTTATGGAAGAGTTAGAGAGTTGGAGTTGGAGTTGGAGTTGGAGTTGGAGTTGGAGAGTTGGTTTTATGGAGTTTTTATGGAACAACATAAGTGCCATAAGTTTCCTTATGTAGATATGCGTTTTTAAGGAAGAGTCAGAGATAGTGGTTCCTAATTGCAAAATGTAATCCTAATATTGGGGTGCGAGGTCGTTGAAATACTTGGTCTCAGTGCAATCTCTAGAGTTCACGCAAAATAGGTTTACGCACTTCCAGAGTGCGACAGAGGATCTGCAGTATTCTCTTTAGAAATGAATGTTAAATGGATTACATTTTGCAATAAGGAACCACTATCTCTGACTCTTCCTTAAAAACGCATATCTACATAAGGAAACTTATGGCACTTATGTTGTTCCAAAAATGAGCTAGCAATAGTTGTTCCTTATTGCAAAATGTAATCCAACTTGGAGAGGACAGGGACACACCCACACTCCTACTCCTGCCATTTACCGGTTAGTTCTTTTTAGGCAAACTTTGGTAAATTTTTATAAATTGGACCGAATTCTCAAGATTTTTTGAAAAATGCCTTCAAAGCAAATTTCACATCCTCAAATATCAACTTCTGTCAGACGGTAAAAGTGGGTAAATTCATTCGGCGTGGACTCTAGTCGGGTAAGAGGTTAGGCTGGGGCACCTGGAGATTCCAGTCGAATCCGCCGACGTTGACGCCTCCGGAGTCGCGCCAGTGGTACTCGAGCGAGGAGTCGTCGATGACGTCGATGACCGGGCAGACGACCGTCGTCGAGTTGCGGGCGATCCGGTCCAGAAGCGGCTCCAACCAGCCTGCACAGCAGCCCCCGAGTTAGACAAGCGACACAGAAACAGAACGGAAACAAAACAAAACACATCAGACACGAGCAGGGGACAAAACATCAAGCGTATTATACAAAATTCGAATCGTCGGATGCACCTCTTACGCACTGCCGTGCTAAGGAAGAACGCCGTATGAACCTTCAGACGTTGCCACATTTCCTTCTATAAAAACCGAATTTACTAGGAAAATTCTTCATGGTATTTTCCAAAATTTCCAGACAATTAAGTACGCAATTGGATCTAAAATATCTGAAAATTTCAAGGGAAAATATACTTAAATTGCGTCAAAAATACATGTTACATCAAGGGAAATTTGGCAACTCTCGAAAGCTCATACGGCGTTCTTCCTTAGCACGGCAGCGCAGTGGCGGGGCGTGCTTTGCGATATATCGATTGATCTGCCATTTGAATCAATGGAAAAGGATCGATGAGCAGGGTGTTCGCAACGAACACCTTAATAATCGATTCTTTACCATAGCTTCAAACGAAGGAATAACGATAATCGATCATTCACGCTTCGCCGATGCTCTTACGGCGCACAGTGGATCGAGTCAATCAGAGAGGTCGGACATGAAATATTTAACAAAAACTGCAAATTTCGATGTCTAATTCGTCACGACTTAAATTTTAAGGGGTGCATCAGAAAGAGCATTTCACGAGAAAACCAATGGAGCCACTTTTAAAACCTCAAAGTTTTAAATGAACGAGGTTATGAGCTTTTCAAGTTTCCAACTTTTGTCCGTCTTCCCCCATTGACTCGATCCATTGTGCGAAGGCTGCGTGAGCATCCTCACTTCACGCCAGTCAGACCCTTCTCCCTACTCTTTATTTTC